CAGGTGTATCTCCCTGTGGCTCCAGAAGATCACTGATAAGTAGCGTCAACCAAGTGAGTTCCTGTATAGATTGGCTCAGCGCTATGTATTCTGCATCAGTAGTCGAAAGTGCTACCGATTTTTGTCTTTGTGAACACCATGCTACGATTCCATCTCCCATCATGAAAATDAATCCWGATGTTGATCGTCTCGTTGTTGTGTCACCAGCATAGTCTGCGTCACTATATCCACGCAACTTTGGTGTTACACTAGAATCATAWATTMAACCATAATTAAATGTTCCCTTTAAATATTTAAATATACGTTTCACCGCATTCCAATGAATTGTCAKAGGCTTTTCTAGATAACGACTGACAAGATTTACTGCAAAAGTTATATCAGGCCTTGTTATTTGGCTTWGATACAACAAACTTCCAACTGCTTCTCTGWAWGRAACTTCCCCTGCTTCCAATGATYCTGACAAATTTGGATCTAATGAGTGTTGTGGATCTGTGGGAATATGCAGGACTTTGGTTTCTTCCATATTGAACCTCTCTAAAATGCGCTTGCAATATGAAGATTGGTGTATGAAAATTGAACCATCAGGTCTCTGATCAATTTCAATACCCAAGAAATGATCAAGTTCMCCTTCCTTCGTCTCGAAGTTGTCCTTTAGAWACTTCACCAYTATGTCCACCAGCTGGTTATTTGTTGCTGCGATTAGTCCATCGTTTACAAAAATAGCGACAATTAGTAATTGATTGTTTTTATTACTTACGAATACACAAGAATCTGCTTTTGTTTCCTTTAGGTCAAAGTTCATCAGCATATTTTTGAACATTTTGTTCCAGCACCTGGGTGCCTGTTTCAACCAATATTGGCTCCGTTGAAGTTTGCATACTAACTGTGTTCCATCTTCGTAACCTTTTGGCTGTTTCATATAAATGTCTTCTTCAAGATCTCCATATAAGAATGCTGTTTTAATGTCAAATTGTCTGAGTACTAATTTTCTGGCTGCTGCTATTGCAAGTATTACTCGAATAGAATCATATTTCACTACTGGGCTGAACGT